AACCTTTTAGAAGTAATCATTGTGAATCCAGGAAGTCATTGAAAAGAAATGTTAAGAAGTGGTTCTAAAAATATATCCACCTTGTTGGTTGTGGATCTATAATGGGTAGATGGAGCAGAGACAGAAGAAAGAATCTTCTGGCACATTAAAGACAACCAAGTTTTATTTGACACAAGCTTTTGTGAAAGTACAATCCTTTCCATCTGTGGCATGGAGTGCAGCCTTGGCAGACTGATAATTGGTACCTATGCTGCTGATGGATGAGGAGAGGGCTGAGGAATATGGAAGGCAAGAGAAATGCAATATGCACCAGCATGGTGATGATCATAACATCGTTAAGTGTCCTTTAGCAGTTATTGGGAGGCGATACTGCCTTGACGGCTAGATAGGCAGAGTAACTTAAGTACAGTGCAACAAAAGTACATGGAAGAAAGGTCTTTGTCCATATAGCTCGCCTTCTTGATAGAGTCTAGTGTATGATTAATTGAAATCAGAAAACTAGAAGGAACAGAGATACAAAAATTATTGGCAAAGATAGCAGTCTTAACAGTGGTAATACAGCCGTCCCTTCACATGTAAGCTGATTAATGTATGAGTGAAATAAACATTCTTCAAGCCATGGGAGAAAGAGCTGAACTCTTTAATGAATTCCTTTTCAACTTTTCCCCATTGGAAGCATTGAGGAATGTCACACTTTTTAGTGTTTTAAAAAAGTTTTAATCAGCAGTTTTTAAATACACTTCTCCCTTGAACTGCTTGAGTCTGAACAGCACAGTTTTTTTCCTTTCCTCAATAAATAAATATTCAGTAAATACTGTGCTACTATTTGTCTCCAAGAAGTGATTTGAGAGAGGGGCATTTTTTTTACTTATTTAGGCCCCTGTTGTTGGCAGTGTGGTGGCTGTGATCTGATGGTGGTGGCCTAGCCAGCCCCGTCTCCTGGCCTGCCGACTCCAGATGGTGGCTGGGGAGGGTGCTGTGACATGCTGGGAGGCTGACATGGGTTGGGGGAGATCACAGTGGAATGCTCCTGGGGGGGGAGGAGGAGAGATCACATAATCATTCCCCCCTACTCCCCCAGTAGAGGCTTTCGTTATGTTTTTGGTGGCATAAGAGTTACACATGGATTTTGAACTGCATGGAGGTCTGGCACCTCTAAACCCAGTGTTGTTGAAGGGAGAAGTGTATTGTCACATGTGCAGTTTGTTCTTTAATGTTACTACTTATTGAGTGGAGTCCAGTTGTGCAATTCTGTGTGTGTAAAGGCTGGCAATGTCATTATCTGCAGACTTTACTCTAAAAGTTTCCTATCCCTTTCACCATAGATTCTGAGGCTCTCTTGGGAATCCCTTTTAACTTGGGGAAGCCTTTGGGAGCCTTGGCATAAGGGACATGAGGCCTTTAACACCCCAGAATATCTGCCAGTGGTCCAGAGGCCCCCCAATGGCTTCCCCAGCTGGTACAGGCAGAGTGGTAGGAAACTTTAAATTGAAGATTAAGGTTCATGGCCGATGACATCATAAACTTTTTACACATTCAGAGTTGTGTAACAGGATTAGAGCTATTATGTTTTTAACTATTTGTTATCTGCTTTTACACTGAAAAATGAAATCATGCATGCATTACATACATTACATTATATTAGGCATCCTTCAGTCTCGAAAGACTATGGTAACGTGCTCCTTATGGAGGACTTGGAACAGCGTCTAGTGTGGCTGAGAAGGGCAATTCGAGAGTGACAATCCCTTCCACACTGCAGACAAATCCAATCTGTCCCCT